GCCTGCACCAGCCTGCTTCCTGTAGGCCAATCGATTGAATTTCAAACCAGCCTTGCGCAGGTTCAGTGTGTTTTACAACAACAAAGAGTCAAGCAGCCACATAGGGAGAGGAATTGCTCAGTGAGATTTTAATCTTCACTCCCTCTTGGCTCCGTGAAACATTTTGCCCAGCTTTCAGTTGATTGTTTTGTTTTTATTACCTGCAGCTGAACTGTTTTGATTCAGTCTCATAGCACCAGTCGGCCATTGCTCGCTCAAAACTAAATACTACACAGACAGTTAACTGCTGTAGCCACGACATCATTTCAAGGGAGTTAATAAAGCATATAAATGTTCCATATGGACAGGAGTAGGACTCAAAATTGATGCTAATTTTGCTCCATAACTGTTGGTTATGTTCCACAAATGTCCAATAAAAACAGGAAGTCATCAGACAGATGACGGTCGAGAGTCAAACCCAACTGACGTGCAATCTGGCCAAAATCAGTCAGAAATGACACGATTTGACAGAACACTTACATTTTAAATAGTCCAGATTTCCCAGCCTGTATGATGAGCTTGGACTAGTATTCTGTAAAGAATTGTTAAATGTGGGATATTTCCCAAGCACTCACACACAGAAGCCTTTTTAAATGAGCAAGCAACAACTTTTCCACCACCATTGTGGGGAATATGGAAAACAACTTTTTATGGCCACGGCCAGTGATGGTTTACTTGACAAGGTTACATCAAACAGTGCACTCATGAGGATCTTTTCTCCTTGCCCATAGCTGACCACGCCTGAATGACTGTTGGGTCTGTTGGGTCCCTTTGAATAATTTTTATCCTAAATCTCCATTTTACCCTGATGTTTTCTTTCACCTAATAAATCCTCTGTCTTAATAAAAAAAAGTCTGACCCTGCTTTATGGTAATATTTCAGCAGATTGGGAATTTTACAATTTCACCAGACATCATCAAAAAAAATCAAAATAGTGCAGCCTAGTCTTGTGTCAAAGAGTCGAGAAAGGCACGTAGATGTGACAACAAGAAGAAGAAAACAACTGCACCTTGTGAGCTTTAATTAATTATGTCTAATATGTGTAGAAAAATAAAAACATTATTATTATTATTGAACTTCTGTGACCCAATAGAAGTTGTGTAAGTTTTATAAGTTTTACTTTCAAAGCCTTAAAGCCTTGAGCAAAAACTGCAGGTAGTGACTTTATAATGTAACGCAATAGAGCGCCCTGGTGGTCTTTGTGAAGGCGTCTTCCCATTTCCAGACAAGTTTTGAATAGAGAAGAAATCTTTGCTGTACTTTACTCTTAATCTTTTTTCTCTGCCCAGTGATTATCTCCAATCTTTTCACTTACACACACACATAAAGTGCAGTCACTCAAACACACACTTGATTGAGTAACATGAATGTGAAGCACACAATGAGCCACAAGGAGAACAAGAGCAGCCCACGCCGTGTCACTGTTCCCCCTCTTCCCTTGTTAAACATTTTCTGCCTAATTTATACCAGGGAGAGACGAGAGATGCAAACTGATATGTTAGGTTCATGTGAGGACACAGTGTGCGTGTGTTTGTCTGAGTGCCGCCAAAGTATATATATATTTTTTTTTTATCCTGTAAGGTACATTTTCTTTAAAAAAGATACTACAAATTTTCCACTGTGTGAAAGTTGTTCCAATACTACAGTTATGAGAGACTGGTGCCTCCCTTCGACCGACCAACAGATGGATAGACAGATCTGGCACACTGCTCTCTTATGGCAAGCCGTTTTAACATTTAAACGCTAAGTTGGATATATATTGCACATATCTGTAACGCAGTTTTGCCTAGTCAAAAAGAGAAGTTTGGATATCTGACGAGCCCACGCTGGCCGCAGTTTTTGCCTGCGTCGTCATAATGTTTCGGCAGTGGGATTTAGGTGATAAAAGTATTTCGGCCTAAAACGAAAAAATGCGCTTTAGGGTTACAGAAATAGAAATCAATATATTAGGTTCAAGAAAAGAGAAAATAAAAGAGAGGTGGCGCTACTGCTCCAATTTCTGTAGACGCAGATGTTGTCAAAGAAATTTAGCCGTTATCGCAGTTATGGAACGAACAAACGAACAAACGAACGAACGAACGAATAACAAATATGTGTGGCATAAATGCATTTTGAGAAATGTACATAAAAGCCTGAGGTGCATGAATATGATAATGTCAGTGGGACGTTGGCAGACATTCGTGAGGAAGTCATCGTCCATTGTGTTATTCTGTCACTCATCACGGTGTGCCGACTATGAAACCTGTAGAATCGGTTTAGCAATGTGAGACAGAGACTAAAAGAAATGGCCACATGTTCCCTGGTGTGATGTCTCTATTAAGGAAAATTAATAGTCATTTGTCTGAAAGTAAATTACCACCATATTTCACCTAATTAAGGACACCCTGGTTTCTATTTGCAGTTTTAAAAAAAAAGGTGCTGAGGAGGGGACAGAACTGCTGGCGCTGCTGATATTTCCCTGCAGGTGACTCAAACCACAAAACACCGCTGCTCGCACACAATTCAGCAACAATTAATCAATCCCACAACACAAACATACACACACACACACACACACACACACACTTCTCCCACAAATATGCAGGGCTTCCTTTATTCGAGCTCAGGAGCTTAAAAACAACCCAGTAAACAAATAAACACTTGTTCAAAGGAAATAATGTTTTCTTTTCTCTCTATTTTTTTACAGTTTTGTGCCAAACACTGCCTCAAACCACTAAACCTACACCTGGGGCTAAGCGATTTGAGAAGCAGGCTGAATATCTGATCAGGTGAAAATACATTCATACTCCTTCAATTTAAAGTTTTACCATTTCAATGGAAACTAAGTGCAACTTAATGGAAACAACGTGAGCTAATCCAGACTTTCACAGTAGCAAATAAGGCTGGAAATAGCACTCATTGGAATAGTCTCCCCCTCTCTTGAGGCAAAGGCAATTTCATGCATCAGCACGACTCTGGGGAACACACAGCTAAAAGGTGACTTCAAGGTTAACAGTGCATAGCCAACAACAAAGATGTAAAAATCCATAACAGCTCCTGATTTTGCTTCCTTAATTACTACAGAAATTAATTAGAGGATTTCTTTTAAAATCACAGACTCCATTGAAACAAGTTGTAAATGTGGGAAATACTTGGTAACTACTGTTCATCCCAGTGTTGCCGTTCACAGCCGATGTGTTGTCAGCGTTCAGCCTGTTGGCAACATTATCTCTTGATTTTCAGTGTGACAACCATTAATAATTCAAAGGAACATCCCCCGGTTTGGCAGCAGTAACTTACAGATAAAAGGCCACTGAAGCCCATTCGTGTTTGCTGTAGGTTTGAACCGGTGTCAAGCAACATATCATTCTACAGATACAACAGATCTATAATACAGGAATAAAAATTGAATCCACTGCAGGCAGACCACTGTTAAATATCAGACTATGTGGCCAAAGGGCAAACAACCTCTAAAAGGCAACAATTAACCCACACTGGGGTTTTTTTCTTTTGTTTGTTTACAACATTGTAACTGAAATTTTCACAATTCAATTTTCTGACCACAACCAAATCAGAATCATTTTGTCAACCACTGAGCAACAGTGTGGGCTAAACAACAGTGTTTAGCCCTGATGTGTGCTTAAAGACCTGTCCTTCAGTACCATGGAGAGCTCCAGGGAGGCACACAATGTCTCTGCAAACAAACACATCAGGTTGTCTACAATGCTTCACAAATCTACTCAAAGGAAGGGCATGAAAATGTTTCATTTTACACTCTAAGCCAGGCTCTCAAACCCATGCCATCCAGGCTGAAGCTACATTTTATGGATGAAAAATATATAATTTTTAATGACCAAAGGAAAAGGGAAGAAAGGCAAAATCAGACAGCAGTTTTGTTTTCATGTTTTACAACACGCACAAAGCGTAGCACCGTTGGAGGGGCTGGATGGGGGGGGTTCAATTTTTGACCAGATATTGATTTACTGACAGCAGTACAGCATCAAACCATAATTGTTTTGTGAACCACTGAGCAATGTAATTGGCACTATGTTTTGGTCACACACTGTAGTGTTGTGAAAAACTATATTCAGCACCACGGACAGTTCCAGAGGGACACAGCTGAAGACAAACGTGGGGTTCTGTTACATTTACTTTTAATAGATTTACAAAACCATGTCAGGTGTTGTCTCAGAAACCTTTCGTCTGACAGACCTTGCAGAAGTTCAACTCTGTAAACAATCTTTGGCACACCAACTGCCACGATCCTGACCAGCATGAAGACACCAGTGGAAACAGGGCTTTGCACACACAACTGAGAAATGGCACTGACACCATGTCAAAAACACTTTTTTTGTTGTCTTTGTCACCTCATCACAGACCAGAAAAGCCCAGGGGGTTTCAACCGTCGGTCGATACACTTGTCTTTAAAGTCTTTAAAACTAAAGCCACTTCACAAGAGATTTACAGCCTCGGTCAACATTTTCTTTTCTGTCACAGATTTATGGTCAGGTTCTCCACTGTGATGGATTTCAATATAGTAACCAGAGACCCAGTTTGGAAATATCAAGATATTAAACAGCAAAGGTGAAGTTCTGATCTATTTCCAAGAATTCCTTTTGCAACCAAAGTCTATAACTAGACATGTGTCTAATTCCATAAATTACACAGTTTCCGTTTCACAACTTGTGTCAACAAAGTAACAACATCATTGTTTACAGTCTTTTTCCTGTGTTCTCACACTATGGCATCGGCCACAGGGACAAACACACACACACACACACCAAAACAGACAAACGTGCAGCTGTCAGAGCATTAACAAAAAGAAGAGCACTCTCTATGCACACACTTTTTAAAACTCCGACCTTCAAACTACAGATCTCCAACACAGTCAACAGGCCACTGGTTACACTAGGTCTACATGTGTCTGCAGCGTGTGATGAGGCAGCTGCTATTGTTGACGTTTAAATCATAAGGGTCCTTACATCTTCGTCCTCTCGCACGCATTTTTTGCGGTACTGGACGGGGGGTCTGCCGTCCACTCTCTGCTGAGGGCTCTTGGCCGCGTTCTCGTCCTCCACCACATGTCCACCCAACAGACGGCTGGCCTCGGGTGGCTGCGGGAACGAATTGGTGGTATTGATCTTCCCGGTGAATCTCTGGTACAGCGAAGCCATGATGTAGGTTCAGTCCACAGCAGACAACTTACAGCATGTCAGAGCAACAGAAGGTCTCGCCTGACTGGGCTGTTTCTCTCTTTTCTACCCCCTCTCCTTTCTGCCTTTTTTTTTCTCCTGTTCGCTGTAAATCTATTGGTTTTCTGTGCGCACGGAGGAGACGCGATGGCAGGCTGCCAGATTCACCTCCGTGATGGAGCCAGGAAAGATAAGGTGAAGATATTTAACAAGAACCTCACTGCTTAAAGTGATGGAGCGCGGCTGAATCCTTGGCGGCGGTGTCCTCTCAGCTGTATCCCGGCGCACGACAGACTGGCTCTGGTTGTAGGTGTCAATAGTTCTTCCCTCTGTATTCAAAACACGTTGGTGCCTCCCGTCAGTTTCCTGACAATAGCAGGCGGATGCGCCGAATTTCCGACTAAACCCTGGACCTCAGCCAGACTCCCACTGATTGTCTACACAAACACAAACAAACGCGTGAATGATGATGTTTCCAGACTTTTCAGCTCAGCTCTGGGCTGACAGCCCGTCAGAGACGCAGAGATCCTGGAGCTGCTCTCTCCGCAGACGCGCTCTGCATGAGAAGTGACCGACCCTGAGCGAAGCACAAACACATGTCACGCAAACACTGCATGTGCTGCAGTCGTGCGCTGCACGAAAACAAGCCAAAAAGCCACACACAACACCGGGATTCACATGGGTTTACAGTCTTTCACAACGTAGTTGCACCCGTTTTTGGTTTTCACAACTGAGTCATAGGAAAAAAAACAAAACACAAAGTCCCAAGACGGAGCTTTAGTGCCTCTTTGTGGCGCAACGCATTAAAGCAGGCTGACAAGTACAATCTTTGAAAGTCATTAATGCCTGTAAAAGTGCAGGAGACGGTTAATTATGCATTTTTATATAACAATATTTGTATTTATATGAATATTTTAGGTTTGTGTGTCGGTCTTACTTCCTGCCGGGGGTAATTCGTGTGAGCATACTCACCTGCGCCTCTGTCGTCAGCCTCTGGTTCACTGTTTATCGTTTGTTTATTGTTTTTCTTGATGCTTTGTGTTTATGCTCTACACGACCGTTGCAACTGTAGTGCTGCAATTAGGCACCACCTGTTTCCGTTCAAGGCGTGGTGAAACCAAAGGAATTATTTTAGATTTTTTTTTTAACTCTATGTTAAACGATGATACAACTGAAAAGTGCAAAACTACCACCGAAAGAGTCCTTTAAAAAAGTGCATAAGTTAAAATAAAAATTATATTTATTTTACCCATTGTACAGTTTTATTTCGTCCTATTGAAGTCAGTGTATCGAACAATAAATAATGGCCACTTACATTATACTAGTTTTGTCTTTAAGTATAAACTGGAGATATTATATTAAAGCTAATATTAATATTTTTAATAATAATATTAATATTCTGTTGTCCACACTGCAATAAAAAAAAGTATCCTTGTTTTTCTACATGATTCATCATGGAAATAAATCCCAAGAATACAAACAATGTCAATAATTAAATAGTACAGTACACACCGCTCAGAACTTGGATGGAATGGAATGGACGACCAGATGGTGAGATGGATGGATGGATGGATGGATGGATGGATGGACGGATGGATGGGTGGGTGGAGGTGAAGTTACATGTCATGGTCAAACATCCTTGCAAACATTCCACAGATTGTATGGTAGCCTTTAGCATTCTATGAATCACAAGAAATCGTGTGATTTAATTTAATGTATAGTTATTGCACTTTTGGTGTCTGTATTCTACATCTACATTTCCTGATTTACTGCTGAATAAGTGAAAGAACCCAAGAGACGGCGCACAGCCAATGACATTGACCTCACGGCTTAGAATAAAAGCGAGTAAAGGGAAGACAGAATGCATCAGTGCAATGGTTGACACTAACAGTATTGGAGATTTGAACTTAAAAACTCTGACACCGTGGTCAAGTCTTTATTCCTGTGAGATCGTGAATGGATTCACAGTGTGGCTGAGCCAATTATTAAATCAGGTCAACGTCAAGTCGTCAACTGTCACAGCATAAAATAAAATTAAAGTGCCGTCAATAATGTATTTTTATGAAGATTTCATAACTACAAGGTCACAGATTGTCGTGAATGCAGATGAGGGTAAAATAGAGTTACCCAGGGATGGACGTCCTGTGCTGCAGCATTGAAATTCAATATTATTCTGGGAGATTTTGTTGGTTTATTGTCAAAGAGTTTTAGTTTTGTCTCACTTGACCAAATCATTTACTTTCACTACGTGTTTTCACTCTCTAAGTAGTTCTCCGCAGACATCAGGCTGGCGTAGACATGTCTCTTTAGCAGAACTCGAGGATTTTTTAGTCTCTAGCCGCTCAGTCATGTCCTTAAAAGGGCCCTAGTGTTTTTTTGGCAATTTAACGGGAGATTTGCTTGGTCAGTCACAAGGGCCTCGGCAGAAGCTGTGAAATCTTTATTCCCATCGCTCACTAATTTTCTTTCTAAAATCTTTACCGCTGACTTTTTTGCTCCACACTATGTAGCATTTAGAACTTCAAGATTGTACTTTTCACTTCAGTTCTTGGATTTTTTAAAAAGGTTTTGAAAACTTTGCATACCCCCATGCTGTGTGTCAACGTTTCACTTTGCTGTTGTTTCAATGCACAACCAGCAACTACATCAAAAATGAGCAGAGACACAGGAGGAGAATAAAACAGGTGCAGTGTTAAAATGTGGTGCTAAATGTTTTAGTCTGTGATCATAAACCATTAAACCAGGATTTACTCTAAAGCAGCAAATATCAAGTGTGTTTGTTTGTTTTACAGTGAATGTTACAAAGCCCCGGCTCGCATCATTTGACAAGTGTGGCAGTATTTTTTTTAAATATATATTTACATGATTACATGCATATACAGTTTGATTATATACATATTGTCAAGCTTATTTGAGCTGGTATATATATATATATAAAACCTATGACCTGTGGTAAATCAAAAGGACTAAGTGACCTCTAAGACATGTTGACTTATGTAAAAATACAACACACCACTTCAAGAGGCAAAATGACCAATGTCCACCTCTTTGAAAAATTTAATTTCAGGAATTTTTTATTGCAGAATTGAAAAGTGCTAAACATACAGCAACAATATCAACAATAAAACAACTGAGTTGACATCAAATACTGGGAGAGTTTAAAAATTGCTGTTGCCATTATCAGCTGTGAGTTAAATTCACAGTATTGGCTACTGCATGGTGGAGATGGCACAGGACTCAGGGTTTGAACCAGCACTCCACTGAGCTGAGCACTATTTCTGAGAAATAGGTCAGCTTCAAGGCAGCTCTTATGCAGAGCTGAAAAAGTGCCACAGCTCTTGACTTCCCATTCAGTCAGACCATGTGCACTTTATAATTGTTTGTAGCAGCCATTTGTGCCAGAATGACTACAAGACAAAAGGAGCAAATATTTCAATTCCATTTTCAACAACAGTTTCCATTCATTTCTTTTTATATATGGTGACTCATCCTTGGCCTGAAAGAACTGCTGGAGACTCATTGATGTGTGGCTTGAATTATGAATGTAACCTTTATAATAGAATATGCATCTGGAATACAAAATATTGATTTCAATGGTCAGCCATTCATTTCAAAACAAGGTCACAGGACATTAATGTCCTTGCCTAATTAAAGTGATTTTTTTACGTAGCAGTAGGAACATTCTCCCTCTCGCCGCACATTTGTTTATGTTGGTTACTATGGTTTCCTTTTCATTACCGTCAGTCATCAGCCAACTGGTTTAAAAGCGGACGCTCACGTTTTCTTCTCGTCAGTTGGGTCTCTGACAGGTATTGTCGGCATCACTTCACCTCACTGGTAGTCTCAACTCCGTCATATACAGTATATTCCTTTGAGTTTGTGAACTGTCCGTTAATCATAGTTTTCTTAGCTTAGCACTGATTAAAATGGTTCTTATGGTGTGCACGGTAAGGCTTCTCCCCCTGGTTTTGCTTTGCTCCTCAGACCCCTGGTGTGTTAAGAATGAATGTGATCCAGAAATGCTAGCAGCAGCTCTGTGTGCAGCTCGGTTTGTCACTGTTAAAACTGTCCTGTTGCTCAGGCCCCACAGCCTACTGCACAGGTAACCACACAGAACCCTCAGGAGTCGACAGGGAGGGGAAAGGTCAGAGTGTGTCTGTCGCTTTGCAGGTGTTGTGATGAGGATAGTAGCAGCCATGTGCTCAGAGCCGTGTCCTGATACCACAGTGCTGTTTGAGACTCTTGACACTGATTTACCTGCTGGTTTGCTGCCTTCTCCATCGTTGGTCAGGGTGGTTAGAGCTGCAGCTCTTATATCCACGCTCTGTTGTCGGTGCTCCTTCGCCACATTTATCTCTTCCTTCCGCTTCATTTTAAAAATCAATTTAAAAATGTTCCACAAATGACGTGAAAAGCACAACTTTGTTTGTTGTCATTGCGTGCTCTTTAATTGGAGTCTCAGCCGAGATTGATGTTGTAAGCAGAACATCTGGACTCCCAGACGCTTCCTCTTCCACAGTGGCTCACTTTGGTCCCTGCCATCATTTGTTTCTGTTGTTCATAACTGCCTTTTCTGGGTGTGCGCGCCCTCGGGAAATAGGCCTGAGTCACTTGACATCCATCCCAGCTTCTCTGATAGATGTCTTCCAATCTCCTTCACCTTGTTGGGAAGCCATTGTGACCGGCTGCTGTAACGCTCCCCTCAGGATTGTGCTGGGGAGTCTGGGCTCCGCTTAACTTGCCATATCGCTGCCTCACAGACACAGAGGACGACTGGAATCACTCTTTACCTCTGTCTCGCACACGTTGCTGCAATCAAGCTCAGGACCACGGGCCATAAAAATTTGGAGATGCTATAATAACTGCATTATGTAGAGTGATGATAGTCACACATCTGTAAGTGGCTGAGGGAGTCAATAAAACCAATTTAACTCAGTTAGGATTTGATTATATTTCAAACAGAAAGACACATTGTTTGAATGCTACGACATCGATATGCAATACAGTCCCCTGAGTAAGTTTACGTTCCACTATCTGGGGGGGGGTTTACAGAAAAAGGCTGTCTCCAAATTACCAAACTGACAAAGCGCAGATGTTATTTTATATGATAAAAGCCACTGGGAAATCATTACCTCATTTTTACATTGTTGAAATGAACCAGTGCTGAAATTATAGTGATTAGGTTTTTACTGGGTGACTCTTTCTATCAGTGAGTTGAAGTGGACTCAATAGACCAGAGAGGCAAAATAATGGTAAATATTTGATTAGAGCTGATTACTGCATTTGTATGGTATAATCCAAAACATGTGTCTACAATTATCCCCATATGAAACTTTCTTTGCTCTATTTTTTTTTTTTTTTTAACAAATTCACTTCATTAATCAGTATTTTTCAATCTTGGGGTCATGATTCTATGTTGGGTCACCTGAAATGTCTACTAATAAAAAAAAAATTACTGTTAAAATATTTTCAACTAATTATTATTCATACTGAAGTTATGATTAAAAACACAACTGTATTCTTTCACTTTATATAAATATAAATATCATTTAAAAACATCTGAGCTGATGCAATTTGGTTGACTGAAAAATAGTCTGAAGATGCCAGAAATTTGTGATGTTAAAATGGAACCACTGCTTTATCAGAATTGGTTAAACAAAGAGCTAAACATTTTGGCTAGAAGGAAGATAAATAACAAACAGAACAATCGTGGAATGTAATGTTGAGGTGGAGGTTTGTAATGACGTAGGACGTTTATTTTAGTTATTGAGAGTTTTGGATGAATTACAGTCTCTCAAATTCAGTTTGAGGGATATTTAGATGATTGTTTTGAATGTGCGCCGAGGGGGTTGAAAATAGACATACGAAAGGGGGGTCGCTGCAGAATATGTTGTTCAGATACACAGTATAATAATTTAATCGTGCGTATTCACTAGTAGTGTATTAGAATTCTCTTGTTCTAATTCAAAAAACAATTTACCTTGTGTCACTTTGTGCAGAGTAAAACATTCATTCCAGTGCTGGCCAGAGACTGAGTGTGGTTGTGGTGCTGCTTACTGTCTCATTACATGATGAATGAAATCACATGCACTGCAATATACTGTAGTATTGCTCTCCACCAAAATGCATGACCTGTCATACCTGGCATGCTGCTACCTGGCCCACTTTTTTCCAAGT